CAAGGACGTGACAGGTTTAGGCGTCCTGCACCTGTCACGTCCGTCTCTCTCTACTCATTCCCTGTGACCTATTTCTACCCTTGTTCGTTGTATTAAGCCACCTGAGGCTTTTTATTTTCCCCTGACGTCATGACGTCATGACGTTCATGGGGGGGGGGGGTGTTCCTGTCATCACGTTCTGCTCTCGTTCCTCTCGTCACGTGGTAAAAATAGAGCCGCTCCTTCCCTCTTGTTGATTGTCCTCTCGACTTGTCCTTAATTGTTTAGGTGCGCTAGTTTTATGCGCCTCTGTTAATTGTGCCGTAAATAGTGCCTAATGGTTACTTCTGAATGGGTATTTTTTGTGTGTTGTGGCTTTCAGACCTCTTGGTGTGAGGACCAGTGATAACTGAGCACTCTTTTTGTGCATGTTGCCTTGATGATAGTGTGTGTGTGTGTGTGTGTGTGTGTGTGTGTGTGTGTGTGTGTGTGTGTGTGTGTGTGTGTGTGTGTGTGTGTGTGTGTGTGTGTGTTTGTACTCACTTAGTTGTGCTTGCGGGAATTGAGCTTTGGCTCTTTAGTCTTTTGGTGTGTGTGTGTGTGTGTGTGTGTGTGTGTGTGTGTGTGTGTTTCAACTTTATTTCTTTAATTTGCTTTCCTCTTTCTTCTACAGGAGTGAACGTCTGAGATGATGACTCTAAGGAGTGTTACCTTCTCTTCGTCCCCCCTGCTGCTGCCTGCTGCTCTCCTGCTCTTCCTCCTCCTCCTGCTCTCCTGCGGCACCCTCAGGTAGCACGTCACCTCAGGTAGCACGTCATGAAGACAGGTACAAGGTACAGGAGACGTGGGAGGGTGTCACGGCCTCACTTAACCACCAACCGGGTTCTTTTCGTTTAACTTTAGGGCTAACCTAACTTCTATAGGGGCTTTATAGTGCCTTTTCTTACCAGATCTAACCCTAAGTCAGGGTTATGTTATTAAGAATTGAGCAGTAATATCACACACACACACACAGGGGTGGCAGGGTGAGTGGGAACAAACACAGGGTGGCAGGGTGAGTGGGAACACACACAGGGTGGCAGGGTGAGTGGGAACACACATTCCAATGGGAATAGTGGTAAACAAAACCATCACAACATGTGCTTCTTAACTATATACACTTATTACATAATTACAACATGGGTAACACCTTAGGTGTCACCTTCACACGGCACACTACATAAGATCTGCGATATTCAATCTCGGCGAGTTCGCTTCTATCGTCTATCGTACAACACTTAAGGTGTTGTACGATCCCTGAGTCTTTCTTTTAAGCTACTCACGCCGGCGAGTCCACTTTTCTCGACAATTCACGGGTCAGTCCTCCACAGGGTCTAAACACCTTCAAAACTCAAGAAATACGCTGGCTGACTTCCTCTAAAGGCTTCATCTCTTAACAATTTCTGCACGAGGTAAACATGCGAATTCACAGGGTGGCAGGGTGAGTGGGAACACACACATAGGGTGGCAGGGTGAGTGGGAACACACACACAGGGTGGCAGGGTGAGTGGGAACACACACACAGGGTGGCAGGGTGAGTGGGAACACACACACAGGGTGGCAGGGTGAGTGGGAACACACACACAGGGTGGCAGGGTGAGTGGGAACACACATAGGGTGGCAGGGTGAGTGGGAACACACACATAGGGTGGCAGGGTGAGTGGGAACACACGCAGGGTGAGTGGGAACACACACACAGGGTGGCAGGGTGAGTGGGAACACACACACAGGGAGGCAGGGTGAGTGGGAACACACAGGGAGGCAGGGTGAGTGGGAACACACATAGGGTGGCAGGGTGAGTGGGAACACACACAGGGTGGCAGGGTGAGTGGGAACACACACATAGGGTGGCAGGGTGAGTGGGAACACACACAGGGTGGCAGGTGAGTGGGAACACACACATAGGGTGGCAGGGTGAGTGGGAACACACATAGGGTGGCAGGGTGAGTGGGAACACACGCAGGGTGGCAGGGTGAGTGGGAACACACACACAGGGTGGCAGGGTGAGTGGGAACACACACACAGGGTGGCAGGGTGAGTGAGAACACACACACAGGGTGGCAGGGTGAGCGGGAACAAACACAGGGTGGCAGGGTGCTCACTGGTAGGATGACGCGCGGTTAGTGGGAAATTTCTCCTAAGTCCCAATTTCGCCGAAATTAAACTTACTTCTCTCTGAGAAATAAAAAGCAATCAAAGGGGGAATCAATGTACGATATGGAAATCCCGTTCTCGTAACGATAGGGTCACGGATGCTCGCGATGATGAGCGATATAACTGGCTAGTCTGGGTGCTTCTTTACTAGGTCATCACGTGTTGTACACAATATATCTCTCTCTTCTTAAATAACTCGTACCAGAGTTAATTAACAAAAAATCAGAAACCGGTTTCTGCAGCTAATCGCGCTAGATGAAATTAGGCAGATGAGATATTAATTAACGTCGCTTTAGGCGTGGAAAATGGGCTGTGGCCGGCGGCACAACACCCCAGTGGTTAGTCTTCTCCTCCAGTCAGTCCCGGGTATCTTGAGGTTATCTTGAGATGATTTCGGGGATTTAGTGTCCCCGCGGCCCGGTCCTCGACCAGGCCTCCACCCCCAGGAAGCAGCCCGTGACAGCTGACTAACACCCAGGTACCTATTTTACTGCTAGGTAACAGGGGCATAGGGTGAAAGAAACTCTGCCCATTGTTTCTCGCCGGCGCCTGGGATCGAACCCAGGACCACAGGATCACAAGCCCAGCGTGCTGTCCGCTCGGCCGACCGGCTCCCGACAAATCCTCAACTGCCACGTCACAGGCAGGCTAACACAACAGTGTTCATCCGGGGGGTGACTCACAACTTCTGCAGCTAACACTTGGAGATTCTACGGCTGCCTTGGGTAGACTGATCCAACTTCCATTACAGCAGTCCCAGGTCGACTCTGTAATCAGACACGTCATCAGTACTAGTTACACTCTGGGGCACCTCACTTACCGGCTTAGACCCAAACGCCCACCTATCCACTCCATAGATGGCGTTGCTGTCCAAGCGTCACCTCACCAGAGGTCAGCAACGGCTGTGTTATGAGCTGATCAGGACGGGAAACTACCCCTTGTGGCCAGTATATCACGTCCTCACTAGATGGCGTCGTCCATTTGGAGGGGGTTTCGGGAGCTGACCCACAGATGGCGCGGTCGTCACTGCTCCGTGCTCGGACGCTGGGCTCGGGTCCGTAACAATACATTATTTATTTCTGGTAGGAAAAAGTCTAAAACAATTGTTCAAAAGATGTGTAAATATTTGATTCAAAATTAAATGCTTCCAGAAATTTTAGCCAAATATAGCCAGTTTGTTAACAGTAGGTAGTAACTGAGTGATTGTAATCTATCCACCGCTGCCCACTGGATGGGGTTGGGGGGGGGGGGGGAGAGGGTCGGTGTGCAGGATAAACAAATCAATTGTGATACTAACTCTCCACATATATCACTTGCTTAAGTTAGAACCTGTACTTGTGGTCGGTCTCGAGCCCATTGTTGATGTGCATTGAATTTTGTAACTAACTCATCAACATTGTAACCTTAATAAATTCTGGCTCTCAGTCCCTGAGCCCATTATATGCCTCTGTAACCCTTTCCACTACCGCCCACAGGATGGATATGGGATTCATAATAAATAAACCAAACTAAGTAGACAGATAGAATGGAAGGGAGGGAAAGAGAACGGAAGGATGGGATGTAGGGAAAATGGGAGAGAGGGAGAATGTGATGGAAGGAGAAGGGAGGGATAAGGGAGGGAGGGAGAATGGGGAGATAGGGAAGAAGAGAGAGAGACAGAGCCAAAGAGAGACAAAGAGACCCCTGGGTACCCCCCCCACTCCCATCTAGTGCCACATAAATCAGAAGCTCTAGCTGAGCTGAGCTTAAAGTAACTTAAGGAGCACTTACCTATCAGTGATTACGGGGGGAGTATAAGGTAGAGAAATCTCCTTCAGGCAGGTGCTGCTATCTTCAGGCAGGTGCTGCTATCTTCAGGCAGGTGCTGCTATCTTCAGGCAGGTGCTGCTATCTTCAGGCAGGTGCTGCTATCTTCAGGCAGGTGCTGCTATCTTCAGGCAGGTGCTGCTATCTTCAGGCAGGTGCTGCTATCTTCAGGCAGGTGCTGCTATCTTCAGGCAGGTGCTGCTATCTTCAGGCAGGTGCTGCTATCTTCAGGCAGGTGCTGCTATCTTCAGGCAGGTGCTGCTATCTTCAGGCAGGTGCTGCTATCTTCAGGCAGGTGCTGCTATCTTCAGGCAGGTGCTGCTATCTTCAGGCAGGTGCTGCTATCTTCAGGCAGGTGCTGCTATCTTCAGGCAGGTGCTGCTATCTTCAGGCAGGTGCTGCTATCTTCAGGCAGGTGCTGCTATCTTCAGGCAGGTGCTGCTATCTTCAGGCAGGTGCTGCTATCTTCAGGCAGGTGCTGCTATCTTCAGGCAGGTGCTGCTATCTTCAGGCAGGTGCTGCTATCTTCAGGCAGGTGCTGCTATCTTCAGGCAGGTGCTGCTATCTTCAGGGTGCAGGTGCTGCTATCTTCAGGCAGGTGCTGCTATCTTCAGGCAGGTGCTGCTATCTTCAGGCAGGTGCTGCTATCTTCAGGCAGGTGCTGCTATCTTCAGGCAGGTGCTGCTATCTTCAGGCAGGTGTTGGCACATTCTATGCCCTCATTTACTAACCTTGTTGCGTTCTAATTTAACTTCTCAGGTTCAAATTCTTTGCCGAGTCTTGCTTTTTGAATTGTTTAAGGAGGTGGTTTCCTTAACCTCTTCTTTCAGAGTGTTCATCTTCTTGACCACCTGTGCAGAGTACGAATATTTCCTTACCTGTCTTCATCTCATTTTCATTTCCTGTTTTCACCTTATTTCCTCTTAATTTTAGGTTAGATTGTCCTTGTCAACCTTGTCTATTCCCCCTCAGTATCTTGTATGTGGTGATCATATCCTCTTTGCCTCTTCTGTTCGCTGGTGTCGGTGGTGTTGTCTGCAACCATTAGATGTCCAAGCCAATTAAGGACATGCAGAAAATGTGAATGAAAGATTAATTATAGGTCAATATTGTAAGATTTTTCATAATTAAATGAATTCTAGTACATCCGTTAACTTTAAATTGAAGTCTAGATGGGGCTCCGGCGGAAGGGACTGCTTAGCTAACACGCTAAGTGTAGTAAGCAGCTCATTTCCCACTCTAGAGACCATAGAAAAATTACGAGGCGCGAGCAAACGCCGAGACCTCAAAAGTTTGAGATCCCATATCACTGAGCCGTCCTCTCGTCCTCCCCACCATTCCCCACTCCCTCGTCCGATGCATTCCCAAATGATCTGATGTTCCCATCAGAAAATTGGAAATTTCAAATGGTACTGGGTCATCGACGTCCGTCATGCTGGGGCTCAAGAAGCAGTCTCAGATTAATAGCAATAACTTCAGGTAGCGTGGCAGAATATATGTAAATCATTAATAGTGCGGGATGTAACAAAAGACAGCGTTCAACTTAACAACTCGGTTTATTCAACAAGTACTAACTACTACAACTAGAAAAATATCACTGACGTTACTTGAATCCTTCCTATGAAACGTTTACGATAGTTAGACATCAGGCCCAAGAACCGCAGGATCCTACCTGTACTCACCTATTTGTGCTTGCGGGAATTGAGCTTTGGCTCTTTGGTCCCGCCTCTCAACTGTCAATCAACTGGTGTACAGATTCCTGAGCCTACTGGGCTCTGTCATATCTACATTTGAAACTGTGTATGGAGTCAGCCCTGTTGAGCCCTGTTGCATAAGCAACAGGGCTCCATTAAGGAACATATAATCTCTTCCCACAACCAGACCATCACCAGAGAAGTCTTAACAAAAAGCACGGAAATTATCGATAGATACAGCGATAGCAGGCGGCTAGATATCTGCGAGGCACTACACATTAAGAAGTCGACACCAGCAATCAACAGCCAATTAATGCACAACTATATTCTACCCACTTCAAGACTCCACACCAATATAGAAGCATCAAGAAATATAGGCCAATAGGCCCTTTGCAGTTACTTCCATTCTTCCCTTTAACTTACAAAATATTATACCCATTGTTTCGTGTTCTGTCTTGTGTTGAAAGTTTGTTTTCACCTCATCCAAAACTGTTGTAACATATCACCTCACCCAAATGCAGGTATAAAATCGAAGCTGTTTAAACTCTGTTTAGTTATAGTTGTGTGTGTGAAAACTAAAGTCTTTGAAAATGTAATAAGTTATTACGAAACGCGTTCAAGTGTCGCGTCAGACTAGAAATAAAAATGAATTTTGGAGAATTGATTTTTCAGTTACCATCAACAGTGAAAAGAATTATAAGAAATATTGAGAAAATTCGTGTTAGAATAATTAATCTTACTTTTTATGTCACATTTAATAATATATGTCTATAGGAAAGACTGCTACCAAAATATACTAATATATATATATATATATATATATATATATATATATATATATATATATATATATATATATATATATATATATATATATATATATATATATATATATATATATATATATATATATATATATATATATATATATATATATATATATATATATATATATTTATATAACTTACACTTGTCACAGCCTAAGAACACACAATACACTTGTAATAAACACATACTGGTAACACTCCACAAAATCCTATGCCAGGAAGTCAGGAAATCTGCCGGTGTTACAACATTCTTACGCTATCGTAACATGATGACCGGAACTGAATCTCCTGAAATAAACTTCACGTGTGGACATGGGGGAAATGGCATAAACTTTCACCTAGAAATGTAATCAACACAAAACACCACACCAGTATGGAGTATAATAACTCTTGGACGGCCCTCCATGTACGTGTTTACGGGCTCACCATAGCCCGTGCTACATGGACACTCCTGAATAGCTAAATCTTTAACAACAACAACCCTCCATGTCCTACTTTACTTCACAGCTGAATGTGATTTCCGTGTGACCAAACACACACACACGTCAACTCACATACACTCACTTCAAGCCCTCCTTGATTGATTGATAAAGATTAAGCCACCCAAGAGGTGGCACAGGCATGAATAGCCCGTAAGGCCGGCCACACACGTGCAGTTTTAACTGACAGTTAAAACTGTTCAGTTAAAACTGTCAGTTAAAACTGTCAGTTAAAACTGCACGTGTGTGGGTATCTCAGATGCTCATTTCGTCAGTTCAACAGAACTGTACAGTTAAACTGCGACAAATGCAATGTTCCATATTTTTAACTGAAAGGAGTAACTGAACTGAGCGTGTGTGGGTATCTTTCTTTTTAATGAAAGGAGAAACCAGCGAAATCAGCTTTTGGTACACAGTTTCAGTCATGCGCAAATAATTGAGAAAATCAATTGGTTCTTCACTTAATTCCTTTAACAATTTAATATCAGAACATTGATTTCGCCTTAGTAACCACTTTTTTGCACCACTGCTTACGCTTCTTAGTTGTCTTTTTTCTATTTGTTTGTAGCATTACCAAGAATACACCAAGAGCGGCAAGATCCTACTCCTCGGAATCCATGGTAAAACTGAGGGATTGAACTGTGTGTGTGTGTGCATTTCATTTTTAACTGACGTCAGTTTGAACTGTGACAGTTATAACTGAACAGTCATAACTGTCAGTTAAAACTGCACGTGTGTGGCCGGCCTAAAAGCCCTCCTTGACTGACAAGACGTTAAATAGGCGAATCTCACGCTCACTGCACTTCCCGTTCACCTAACAGGTGCTATAGAGACAATACGGGCGTGGCTAGGCACACTTTGTACCCGCCCTTACTTGCTGGCTTCGTCCCTCCCTCAGGGCGAAGCAACGTGCTTGTAGGAAATGGCGGCCAAACACAGCGAACGGCAATGTCCCACACTGGGATCGAAATTCCCACGAATTTCTAGTGGAAAAACTGCCTTGAACACTGGTAAGTCTTCCCAGGTCTCTCAACTGCTAAGTGACACAAGCAGATCAGAAGAAGTCTGATGATGACTGGAGATGGGGATTCACAACACATTCTGTTACTCCTGCACGTGTGGCTTACACACTGCTACTTTCCCAGTCATATATACTTTCTTGCAGTACACGCAAATACGATAAGTTCCCGGATTCTGCTCGTTCCTTACGGACACTCGTCGATATCGCGTGGATATAAAGTGTACTAGATGCTACTGCTGTCGTGACCGTTACTTAGCTGGCCAACTAAGCAAAGATTACGTACAGCACAGGCAGTAGCTAGATGCAGGATGGCGTCTTGGACCCAGTGAAGATACTGGTCCCTCCTCAAACTAGCCAATCAGAGAGTCGCGCACCTCGTCCCAAGGCCCTAAACCAATCACGGCTTTCCCAAGGTGACGCGCTGGGGTGACGTCACGGCGGACGGCTTGGTTTCCGCGGGAATTTCTCCTGGTAACTGGTTCCTCACGGGTTCCTCCTCGCTTTTAACTCACCCAAACTTACAGTAAAAACTGCTACTAGCTCTTACGGTTTCCACAAATGCGTTGCAACGGCCATTGCAACATATTTGGAATGCTGATGTCCCTAGGCTCTCCAACGAGCCTAAGCACATGATGTCTCGTGGACGGGTTACCAAATCTAGACCGAGTGCACGGCCATTTACGTGCATGGGTGCACGGCCATTTACGTGCATGGGTGCACGGCCATTTACGTGCATGGGTGCACGGCCATTTACGTGCATGGGTGCACGGCCATTTACGTGCATGGGTGCACGGCCATTTACGTGCATGGGTGCACGGCAGCGCTCGTGCAGTCCACACTTTAGTAGAAGATTTAGCTGGTGAAAAACCCATACCCTCACAAATATATTAGTTAATGCAACCCTGATCAACATTGCCTGAGTGTTGAAGTGTTGTGTAAATGGTGCCAATGTTAGTAGTCACGTGCTCCATTTTGAACATTGTGATCACTTCATTCATTTGACTTTTATTAAATATTTGAATGAAGAATTGTATTGATTAAGAGAAGTCAAAAGCAGTCTTATGAGAAACCAATTTTTAGGCTTCCTTCGCTTTACCTGGCCACTAGTTGACCTTATTTGACCTTTTGTTGACCTCGTCTACAGGGTAACGGCTGGCAAGGGTGCGAGGTTACCATCCAGGAGCTACCCAAGAATACACCGAAACCTGCCCAACTTCTCCTTCAGGTAAGTGCTGCCACCTTCAGGCAGGTGCTGCCACCTTCAGGCAGGTGCTGCCACCTTCAGGCAGGTGTTGCCACCTTCAGGCAGGTGTTGCCACCTTCAGGTAGGTGCTGCCACCTTCAGGCAGGTGCTGCCACCTTCAGGCAGGTGTTGCCACCTTCAGGCAGATGCTGCCACCTTCAGGCAGGTGCTGCCCCCTTTAGGCAGGTGTTGCCACCTTCAAGTAGGTGCTGCCCCCTTCAGGTAGGTGCTGCCCCCTTCAGGCAGGTGCTGCCTCCTTCAGGCAGGTGCTCCCACCTTCAGGCAGGTGTTGCCACCTTCAGGTAGGTGCTGCCACCTTCAGATAGGTGCTGCCCCCTTCAGGTAGGTGCTGCCCCCTTCAGGCAGGTGCTGCCACCTTCAGATAGGTGCTGCCCCCTTCAGGTAGGTGCTGCCCCCTTCAGGCAGGTGCTGCCACCTTCAGGCAGGTGTTGCCACCTTCAGGCAGATGCTGCCACCTTCAGGCAGGTGCTGCCCCCTTTAGGCAGGTGTTGCCACCTTCAAGTAGTTGCTGCCCCCTTCAGGTAGGTGCTGCCCCCTTCAGGCAGGTGCTGCCTCCTTCAGGCAGGTGCTCCCACCTTCAGGCAGGTGTTGCCACCTTCAGGTAGGTGCTGCCCCCTTCAGGCAGGTGCTGCCACATTCAGGCAGGTGCTGCCACCTTCAGGCAGGTGCTGCCCCCCTCAGGTAGGTGCTGCCACCTTCAGGTAGGTGCTGCCCCCTTCAGGTAGGTGCTGCCACCT